GTGCACGTGCGTTCAATTCATTCTCTAACTTCTGGCTCGATGAACCTGTGAGGCCTCTTAGTATCCCATAAACCCAGTGAAGCCTGGAGGGGGGGGGGGGGTGAAGAAAATAAGCATATACCTTTGAATCCGAATGGGTGACTGTTTTACCCACACAAAGCCAGATGATAGATGTTCAGTCGCCTTCGGGCGTGTGCAAGGAAATAGAGAAGCTTCAGAGAAGGGAGTGTATGAACAAAGCTTCAGTGGGAAGGCCGGCATAGAACTTACTGGTAAACCTCACAGTGTATGTTCCGTTGTGTCAAGAGAGAGAAGCATGGGGGGAGGGCTGATCTATTGAAAGAATGTGTTGTCAAAAATTCTGATTTCGAGTCTGGGAAAATGTTCATGGCTGGCATTTGGAATGAGATATAACTGGTCAAGCAGCAGCACATGGAGTGTGGTGGATTTTTGTACTGATCTGTGGTTGAATAATGAGCTTGTTTTGGGTTTGCTTGTCGGTGGTGGTGGCGGAATATAAACTTCTTTTTGAGGAAGGGAGGGGCCACTGGGGCGTAGGAAGAGGACAGTGGTGGTTGGCGGGGTGGCTCCGCCACAAAGGACGGTTGAAGGTCAACTCTGATGGAGCTGTTAACTGGTCAAGTAGTAGCATATGGGAGTGCTGTGGATTTTTGGACTGATGATCTTTATGAGCAAGGAGGGGCGGCCACTGGGCGTAGCGACTGTGGTGGTTGGCTGGGTGGCTCCGCCACATGGATGGTTAAAGCTCAACTTTAGTTTGTTGGAGCTGTGAAAGGAAAGATGGGTTGAGCACATCTACGGGGAAGGGAACAAAGGGAAAAAAACTTTTGAGCTAATTTAAAATTTGAAGGAGTAAAGTTTGTATTAATTAAAAAAAATATGTATGAAAATTCAAGGCCGGCTCTAACTAACTTCATTCCTTTTTGCAAACAAGTAAACACATAAAAATGAGTTACATGTCAACTTTGGTTTGGTCTAGTGAAATACTAGCTCCGGTCCTTAATATAAGACCATGTTTTACTTTTATTTTGATCCTAAATATAAGACCCCAATCCACTTTATCTCTCATATTTATACATTTTTTCCAAAGTAACCTTTCTAACAATGATAGTTCTGGTCAATACACTTGACTAGCAAGGCTATTTTAGGAAAGACAACATCTATTTAGGACAAATAACTAACTCAACTTACTTCCTTAATCTCCTCAAATTGGTCAACCGGCTCTTATAATTAGGACCGGAGGTAGTATGTTAATTTCCCATAATGTAGTAGGTTCGAATACCATTTTAGTGCCCAACCCTAATTATGTCTCGAACATGATTATTGAGTCCAATAAATTAAAGGATACCTATGAGCAATAAAAGAAATAGAAATGAACTATACTACTCCGTCCTTTATTATAAGATCCTTTTAACTAAATTACACGGTTTAAGAAAATAGTTAAGATTAGTTAAAAGCAATTAATATGTAGCAAATGTAATTTTTTTTCAAAATATATCCTTGTATATAAATGAGTAGATATGAGAGAGTAACAGTGAAATAAATGAAAAAAGAGAATATATTAAATGCATTAAACCAGGAGTAAAATAGATAATAATACATTAAATGTTCGAACAAACTCAAAAGGAATCTTATAAAAAGGGACAAACCTATATAAAAAATTGAATCTTATAATAAGGGACGGAGGGAGTATTAGTTTTAAATTTTTTTAATAATATAATACAAATATGCATATCTATATATATGGTGTTAAAATAAATATTTGATATATTTGAATTGATTGGGCAAAACGAAAGACATGAAATTTTTTGCACAGTTTTTCAGATGTTTGTTGGAGCCACTGATAGATGCACCAACTCGAAAGACACATCCAGTGACAGAGCTGTATCAAATTTGCCAGAAACATAATCTGAAGGTTCAATTTAAGGATTCATGGGAGGATTTAAGGGCAGTGGAGGTTCTGGTCAATAATCAATTGGTTGGAAGAGGCATTGTAGTTCCAAAAAAGAGATAGCTTATAACAGAGCTGCACGAAATGCTCTTGAAAACATTCCAACTATTTTGAGTATTAAACACAATAATTCACCTTCGGATGACATTGATGATTAAATTTTATTTTGTACTCTATGTTCCTTTTCCATCTCACATATTAAATCATGCATTCCATGAATATTGTCCGGCATACATTTGCACCGACAAATTTAGTCTCACAGTTATATATATATATATACACACACACATACACTCCATGTCTCCATCTTACTAAGAATAATCTGCCAAGAAAAACCAACCAAAACTAGTTTAAATATTACTACCTCCCTTTGGTAATTTTTATGAAATCTTTTTAACTAAATTACACCGCTCAAGAAAATAGTTATTCAAATTAGTTAAATGAAATAAATATATAAAAATCGAACTTTATTTTTTTTCCAAGTATATCCTTGTTAAATAAGAGAGAGAAATACTAGTAATAAAATAAAGAATAAAAAAGAATGTAGTATGATAACAAAATGAGGAGTAAAAATAGAAAATTAATTAGAGAAAAAAACTGGTAAAAACCTATTTTCAAATTTTGGAATCTTATAAAAAGGAGGGAGATATGTAGTATTTTTTTTCTGCTAGAAAATAAAGTAATTCAATGAAATTTGATCCACACATAAACCAAACTGATAAAAAAGCAAACCAAACTGAGAATATTAATGATTTATTCGTTGTGACAGTAATACAATGGTACCTTCGAATGCGAAGCTGGGACACCAGGAGTTCAACCAAGAAAAAAACAACACAAAGCAAAAAATCACCGTTGCCGGGGATCAAACCCGGGTCGCCCGGGTGACAGGTGGAAATACTTACCACTATATTACAACGACTTGGATATTGGGGCGTGCGTTTTCAACTTTATTGTGCCCAATGTTACCTCTTAGTTCCCCCATCATGGTGCCTTTTCTTCAGGACTGCATATTCTCAACTACGTACAAAGCATGAGCAAGATACGTTATAAATGATGATAGCCTCCATTTCTTTTGTTGAACGTTCAATTCTCTCTCTAACTTACTGGCTCGATGAACCTGTGGCCTCTTAATATCCCATAAACCCAGTAATGAACCCTAGAGGTGGGTTAAGAAAATAAGCATATAGCTTTGAATCCGAATGGGTGATTGTTTTACCCACACAAAACCGAGTGATAGATGTTCAGTTGCCTCTTCGGGTGTGTGTGCGTGCAAGGAAATAGAGATGAAGCTTCAGAGGGATTTTATCTGTGGGTCAACGGAGGGTTTTGGCATTTGGGAGATATGGAGAGTGGATGAACAAAGCTTCAATAGGCAGGCTGGCATGGAACTTATTACCGGTTAAACCTCACAGTTTATGTTCCATTGTGTCAAGAGAGAGAACTATATATTGGTGGAGGGCTGATCTATTTAAAGAATGTGATGTCAAAAATTCTGATTTTGACTCTCTGGAAATGTTCGTGGCTGACATTTGGAATGAGATGAGTGGTCAAGTAGCACGTGGGAGTGTTGTGGATTTTTGGACTGATCTGTGGATGAATAATGAAGTTTGCTTTGGGGTTACTCGTGGGTGGCGGTGGCAGTGGAGGAATAAACTTCTTTTGGAGGAAGGAGGGGCCACTGGGGCGTAGGGAGAGGACTGCAGTGGTTGGCTGGGTGGCTCCGCCGCAAAGGATGGTTGAAACTCAACTTTGACGCAGCTTTTTAAGGAGAGATGGGTTCGGCAAGTACACGGACAGAGAAGGGGACAAAGCGGCTGATTGGCTTGCTAACTATAGTTTGTAACAGAGGAGCTCTGATTTTATACAGTTAGATAATGTACCCACTCAGTTATCGAATTTATTGTGCGGTCACTGCTTTAGGGTTGCTTGCCCGAGAAAAAGTGGGATTTATTTGACTCTAAAATATAATAACATCATCAGCTGGGTTAGGTCTACTAAATCAAGCCTTCCCCGTAACATAAAGAATCAATATTCAAATTTCGTTAAAACATATCTTCACATTTAGTGTCTGATAATGTTTCAAACACAATTGACTTCAATATAAAAACATGCCAATTGTTACCAAATTTTTTGGCCAAAACCAAATGTTACTTATTAACTTCACTGGTGATAGAAATTATATATATATATATTTGATTTTTACAGGTAGAGTTTTTAACCTGTGACAAATAACATTTGGAATCAATAACAACTGTGAAAGATTATTGTTATGAGAATACCAATTGTTACTGCTTTCAAGCCTAACTTGTCCTAAGTCAAAAGCTCTACTTGTAATATTTGAATAAGATTACTGTTTTTGTAAATATATATAAAATATAATAGATGACACATATCTATAAATTCCGAGTTTACTAATACGCACTGAAGCTAGACGTAAAACAGCATTAAAGTCCAAAGCATAAATTCGAATATGAAGTTAAAAATCTATAACTTGGCTGAAGATTGATGAGAGTAAAAGCAAAATGATGAAGCGAGATAGGAAGAATGTTGAAAGCGGAGAACAATGAGAGCAGCTCGGCTGCCACTCGTTTTTTTGTTTTTTTTGCAATATTTAAAATTGCATGTTCCATTTTTCAATTCTACTTAGTACTCCTCTAGTAGTACTCCTATGACCCTAAATATAAGATCATTATACACGCTAATATAAGAGTCTTATATTTACGATTGGAGGAGTAGTTACTAACTCCTAAGCTTCAATTGAGGTGTATAAAGATCTTATATTTAGGATCGGAGGAGTAGTTACTAACTCCTAAGTCCTAAGCTTCAATTGGGGCATGAATTAAAATTTTAGGCCCAATCTTTTCTTTTGACCTCAAGACAGAGGCCCAATATGGGATACACAAAGTTCAGACCAGAAGCCCGTTTTCCGCTCGATCAAGCCCACTGCAAGATTCGTGTCGGACCAAAAAACCAAAACTCTTCGCCCTCTTTTGCAAGCCAGACAGGGTTTCTGCTGCCAACGGAAGACGAAGTAAAACCCTCTCACGCTCACTCAGGTCCTCTCTTTTCTGCTCCTTTCTTCTTCTTCTTCAGGCATTGCTATCGGAGCTATCTCCGTCGAATGGGTAGCCAAGCAGCGGCTTCGTTCCTCACGAACATTGCACGCGCGGCCTTCGGTCTCGGTGCCGCTGCAACCGTCCTTAATTCCAGCCTCTACACCGTCGATGGTGGCCAACGTGCCGTTCTCTTCGATCGTTTCCGGGGCATTCTTGACGAAACAGTCGGCGAGGGAACACATTTCCTCATCCCTTGGGTCCAGAAACCTTACATTTTCGACATTCGCACACGCCCTCACACCTTCTCTTCAGTCTCTGGCACCAAGGACTTGCAGATGGTCAACCTAACCCTCCGTGTCCTCTCTCGTCCCGAAACGTCTCGCCTCCCTGTGATAATCCAGAATCTTGGTCTCGAGTATGACGAGAAGGTTCTTCCTTCAATTGGAAATGAAGTATTGAAAGCAGTGGTTGCTCAATTCAATGCTGATCAGCTCCTGACGGAGCGTCCCCAGGTCTCGGCTTTTGTTCGCGAGAGTTTGGTACGGCGAGCTAAGGACTTCAACATAGTTCTTGATGATGTATGTTTGGTTATTTGATTTTGATCCAAATTCTGTTTGGGTTGATATTAGTTGGAGAATGCAATTCATATATTGATTTCTGATATCTACACAGGTCGCAATTACGCATTTGTCATATGGTGCTGAGTTTTCAAGGGCCGTGGAGCAGAAGCAGGTGGCCCAACAAGAGGCAGAGAGGTCCAAGTTCGTGGTGATGAAGGCGGAGCAGGAAAGGAGGGCTGCCATTATTAGGGCTGAGGGAGAGAGCGAATCTGCTAAGCTAATTTCAGATGCAACAGCGGCTGCCGGTACGGGGCTGATTGAGCTTAGGAGGATTGAGGCTTCTAGGGAGGTGGCTTCCACTTTAGCCAAGTCGCCTAATGTATCCTACCTTCCTGGTGGGCAGCAATTGCTCATGGCTCTTAACCCTTCACGGTGATGCTGGTAATCTTTCCAGTTTATTGTGTTATATATGTCTTGGCTTTTATTTTTGGTACGTAGTTGGAGTCGAATTTCTTCTTCTTGTATTATTCGTTGCTTTGATTTATTAGCTCTTTGTTATGTTTCGTCTTGATTTATGATTTTAACTAGCATTGATGTACTCTTGGATATGTATAGTTACCGACTTTGACCCTACTGGTTGAGCAAATTATGATTTGAGATATTGGGGTGAAGTTCTAAGTGGCTCTCCATGTAAATTAAAATGTTAAAATAATGAATGCACACTGATATTTGGTTCTGTTAATAGGGCCATATTGTTCAGGCCTTTCCGTAGCTTTCAATTGAGTTCATCCTCCAATAGCTACAGTAAACCTCTCTGAGTATATTAGATAACTGCAAGGATATGAAAGCCCATCATTTCAAGTATCAGATTGTGCTTGGCATGTTCTTAGGTAAAAGCATTACCTTATCTTCAAGGAAAATGGAAATGCATAGAATATGTCTTAATGCTAGAATTACCTTATATTTAAAGAATATGCGAAAAAGCAATAGCTTCACAGTGTTGAACCCTGCTGGAAGAGATGAGCTTGGATTACCATCATGCCTGTTGTTTTAGCCAAAATGATTTTTCATGTTAGCTAAAAGACTTAACTTGTCAGCTGTCTTTGTTTTGTTTGGGCTTTGAAGCATTTTGGATTATATTTCTTTACTAAATATTAAAAAAACATATATATGAACACATCTCGAAGTTCTCATATTATAGGTTGTTATTCCTGTGAGTTATTTTATTAGGTTAATTGTATCTAACATTTTTGGTAGCTAGAAAGTAAATGTCAACATTTGTCACTATAATCTTTTTTTTTTTTTTTTGTATCACACTATTACTTCGATCAGGAGGCAAGATCGTAAGCTTTCTTTGAACTTCAGGGGACTGAGCGATAGCTGATTGTGTTGTGTGTGTTTTTTTTTTTTTTTTAAGGTGGTAATAGCAGACTGTTTTTGTCCCTTTTACATGTTGGCTCGTTTTTTCCCTTTTTAATATTTTGTTTTTCGGGAACAGCTAGTTGTTGATGGAGCCCAATGGAGTCGTGTAACTTCACATAGTGAGATAAAGTTCGCTGTTGTTGTTTTTCTCCCCCCTTCCTCTGGATGCCCGTCTTTCTGATTTGCTGTAGGTAGAGGGTTGAATACAATTCTCAGTTGTGCATGTGTTTATTCCACATATAGGAAAGATTGCATATGTGGATTTCAGATGAAGCGGGTGTAATTCAAACGGAATTATTTCTTGTTTGCATGTTCTTTTAACCATTCAACAGTAATATTAAGAATGGATCAGTTTGTAGTTATACAGGGGATTTTCCGTTGATTCAGGGTTGTTCTGTGCATTGACTTTAGTACACCACTGAAGGATATAAATCAGCAGGTTAAATTAGTCAAATTACAGGCAATGTTGATTAAACTTCTTCTTCTTCTTTTTCAATGAAGCTAAGCATTCATGTCAATTTATCATGCAATACACATTTGCGACTTAGTTTCATATAATTTTTTTGTATCACTAAATCAATTCGTGCTACTGTATAGAGCATACTAATACTATAGAGTAAATCAATTCATGCGCAGCATTGAGAATTTGAAAATTTATATTTTTTATTCATGAAGTTTCCATGGACATCATTGATCCTTTGCACTGGAGATCATTTGTGCTCTAACTCAACCGCACTATAATTTTAATAATTACAACAACCTATAAGACCTATTCATATTTAATCCTCCAAATCTTCATTTTCGGTCTCTAACTTGGTCTAAATAACTTGAACCATCACTTGATCTAAGAGAGCATCAATCGACAATTTTAATAAAGTTACAGATTTCAAAACTGTCACCAGATTCGTATCCCCCAACTCGATCAGCAAATATAGTCATATATGTATATATGTAACTTCCTCTACCACACGCAACTTTTACTCCAAACCTGGAAATTTTCCAGATTTGTTAGCTATATGTTTAAACTCAAGTTTAGCATTCAAATTATCAAACTCATTAATCCCTCTAACAATAAAACCTCCACACACTTCTAGCTACATCATTTTTCCAATTTTTATTCCAACCTTAGTTCAATCCATTTATTTCGGTACTCATTACCCGGCCACATACACCAACTGGTTCCCACATATATACACTCTCATATCAGGTTTTTGAATAACTCCTCTGGAAAGCATAGTGCAGAAACTAAAATCATCATTTAAGCAGCAATAACCGATAAGCAATCACATCTAAACACATGCAATGTCATTTAGATTTGCATATGTATCCTCTCCTTCAAACTCACACGGTTCGGTTCCATATAGCAGAAGAGGGGAAGGAAAGTCGAGTGTTGGAATCATCAAAAACATCTTCCAAACAACACATGCAACACTACAATTCACTTATTCAAGCTTCTAATTACATCTTCCATCCAATATTTCATTCGATTCCTATCTTTTTTTGACAACTCAGACTTTAATCTCTAATCATCTCCTCCAACACGCAGAAAACAAAAGAAATAAGGAGAGTAGAGTGTTAATCAGTCTTACCCCAGTTAGAAAACAAAATTGCATGTAAACTTCTCCTCTCCGATCACTACTTTGCCGGCGACGCCCTTCTCCCTGACTCCAAGGTTTTCTCTCAGTCTCTCTCTGTTTTTCTCTCCGCTTGCAGATGAAAAATGAGACGGGAGAGAAGGCATGTTGGCAAATCATAAGGGTGGGGGGGGGGGGGTGGTCGGGGACGTGTAAAATGACCACAATGCCCTTCCCTTCATTCCTCACTTCCAAAATTATCCCTTTCTCTATAAGATAAGCCCAGAAATTAATCTATAATATTTTATATGGATTTATATTATCCTTTAGCTTCTTTGACCAATAAAATAATTATTCTAAAACTTTTAGCTCAAATATAGACCTCTAACTATTTTCCTTGAATTTCCAAGAAAATAGGTCCTTTTCAACTCCTAAAATTATCCTTCAAATTGTGTGAGCCACTTTTTGGGGAAATTAACCCTTTCATAATATCCTAAACTCTCAAAATTAACATTCATAACTTTTTTCTAATTTTTTTAGGCATTAAATAATTTTAATAATTATTTCTTTATCATTCTTCCTGATTCCTTTAACACCTTGAAATTCAGGATATTACAGAAAGCATGGCAGGTACGTGACTGTTTCTTCACCAAGTGGCCGATCATCTTCTTGGAGCGCCATGCTCACCAAAAGAAATGGAGGTAGGCTGTCATAGCTTATAATGTTGGAAATGCTTCGCGCAGGAGAATATATTTTCCGTAATGGTGGAAATGTGACAGCTATGTAAACGTACCTCTATCTCTCCTTTTAAGAAACCTTAAAATCCCAACATTTCCAGAGTTCATCATAATAAAGAGAATAGATATGCTTGAGGTTGGATCCTATCATCTTAGCCAGCACTCAAGAATTAGCTCACCCAACTCACTTCAAAAGTGGCAAGTTGTGTTAGCTTCTCCAATCTATAGAGGTTACTTTAATTAGAAATCTTGAAGACGCCATCAGTTGAGTTATATCCAGTCTATACTTGATGGTTTAGGATCCAAATCTGAGGGATCAGTTTTTAAGAGAGCCAATGCGAGACAGTTAAAAAGTTCTTATAAAATATCAAAATTATCCTCAATAAATGTTGTTAGTTCAAACTATTTTTTTAATTAGTTAAAAAAATTTATAATTTGTTGGGGATATATATAGGATAAAAAAATTATTACTTTAAACAAAACATGTTTTATATTTTAATTTAAGTAATTATGAGGATTCTGCCATTGAAGGAGACATCTTTGAGCCTGTACGTCGCTTTGGCTTGGCTTGAAGTCGTTGATGCCGGCTTCTCGAAGCTCTCTTGCAGAGGGAATGATGATTTCATCTTCTTTGTGCTTGTTTGATTTGATTTATTTGGGAATAATGGGTTCGTGTTGAAAGAGGGATTTTCTGTAGAGATCTAGGATGTGTAAGCATTTGCCAAAGCTGTTGAGGATTGGAATGCTAGGGCATAAGAACTAGAGGGTTAGCTTGTTCAATAACTCTGGAATCCTGTAATAATGATCATGTGCCACGTGTTCAATCAAACAAGTAAAAACACTTAGTGAAAAACCACAAGACCTAACACAGTTGGTTCCTTAAGCATCTAGTCAAAGGTTCGATCTCTGATGGCATGTATGAAGAGGGTTTCATGGCCAACACTAAAGCCCCTTCATAAAGTTTATGGTGTGAGAAGATTAGTGACTGCTGCCACCGGCGGTAGATACCCGAAGCTCAACCAAAAAAAAAACACTCAGCAAAAATGTATAGAAATTATAAATCATTTAATTTCTTTATTTCAACTGAGGGACTAAAATAATTTTAAGGATTATAAGATTCCTATAAATAACTACTTGATTCTTATAAATCACTAACCATTCAAGAATCTTTTCATGGAGTTTTTAGCAAAATTTTACATGGCTTCTGTGAATTTTATCTTATGCATACACAATCTCTTTGAACTTTGAAACTTTACAATGATTCCCTCAAAACTCTTGTGCAAATAATTTTCCAACAAGTACTTCTGTTCATTACTTATACGCATATATCTTAAATTTTAGGAGGATTGCTTACGTCTAATCCAGAGTTTGAGGGTACAACTATATAACTTAAGGGGGTTGATAATTGATGGTTGGATTTATGTATACAAAGTTAAATGTCTAGATGGATTTATTATCAAGTTTTAAGGGTTAAGGAGATGATTGTACATAGTTCCTTCCTAGTCACTTGTTTTTAGTTAACTTTTTATTACACTTCGTCACGAGTTTGAAATTTTACCCAAATTTAGCAGCTAGCGGATCTCAACCAAAGAAATTGCATGATTCCAAAAGTAAAAGAATAATAAAAATTAGTTCATTGAAAACAAAAACAAAAAACTTGTTCTATGTAACAGTATAATTAAACTCAGATAAACCTAAAACGCAGCATCCAAAATCTACCTTGTAAATATTTCGTAAGTTTAATCAGATAAATTCAGTAAGAATTTATTGAATTAGAAAAGTTTCAAGTTAGTTTGTACTCCATCCGGTCCTTAATATAAAATCTAAATAATTAATTTGTGAATATTAAAAAAATTATTTAAAGTGGTTAGTTCTAGCAAATATGTGTTAGTTTTTCTATAATACCTATTCTAATAATATGCATTGTATGTAATTATCCTGATTGAAGTTCTCTTATTATGTGTAAGAAATAGGAATACTTAGTGGAAAACATTATAATTTTGATAAACAAAGTGAATTAATATCTTATATTTATAATCAAAATAAACCTCTTATTTATTTTTTATATTTAGAATTGGAGGTGTATAAAGCCCAACTAATACATTTACCAGTACTGTATGCTCATTAATTTCTTTCATTTCTCATCCTTCACATGTTGTTATGTAAAAATATAACAGGCTTTCTTTGATTCATTCTTGATGCCTTTGCATGAAAGAAAATGACTAGGGAGAATGGTGGAGTTGAATCATATTCACAAGTTGTTTTGACATAAAACGAGAAACATGATACTACTTACTTTCCTTAACATAAGAGCTAGATAATTAATTTACGAATATTAAAAAAACTAATTAAATTAATTATTTGAAGTAAATAAGTGTTGTCTTTCCTAAAGTAACATTGTTTATCATCTGTATTAAAACAATTCTTGCAATCACTATAGATATTATTTGGGGGCAAAATAGATAAATATAAGAGAAAAAGTAGATTTAGGTCTTATATTTAGCACTAAATTGAATCTTCAACTACAAAGTGAATATTCAACTAACTCTTATATTAAGAACTAGAGGTAATACTAATTAACTCCTATACTTAATATAACACCTTGTTAAAGTTGACTAGGATTAAAGAAAGACAATGATTAGGGAGAACGGTGGGGTTGAATCATATTCAAACAAGTCTGTTTTGACATAAAACGAGAAAAAGAATACTTTTATGATTCTTAATATAAGATTTATTTAACTAATTTGATTAAATTTAAAAAATTAAAAAGTTAGTTAATTATAATAAATATAGTATATTTTTCCTAAAACACGTTAATCATTTTTCTTAATATCCTTCTCTCTTTTCCCTACCTTATTATGGTTGAAAGAG